ATGTCAGTGCATGTCACCAACACGATTATTTATATCTAACATGTGACTTCTTCTTTTTATCAAGTGCATGATGTTCTTACAAAGTCTTTGAGTGGCCAATTCTTCACTCGACTGCGGCATTCGAATTTAGGGTGATAATATAGATAGCTAAGTGATGAAGGCGCATAAGGATAACGTTGCAGCATGACATTATGCATGGCCACAGCAGCCACATGAGTCAACAAACCCGCAGCTAGAAGGATGCTCGTACCAAGAGCTAGACAGTTTTTGATTGTTGAATTGTTCATTCTTATCCACTAATAACAGAATAAATGAGGTGTCCACATTCTAGGTTGTTCCATTATGGGTTATTTTATACATCACCAAGCCATGAACATTGTAATAGAGAATCATTAATCATCTTTAGCATGAATGAAAAATACATTGTTTCCAAACTTGTGTTCTCTTTAAAGCTTCTAGCTTTCAACTTCCATGGAGGATCTCAAAGTCTTTCATCTCATTCTCATGACCCTAATATTAATTCCAAAAATATAAATAAATAAATAAATGGCACCTTCCTAAGTTACAATAATCATAGTAAGACACATCCTCAGGTCAGTTCTGTAATGGGCAATGCAAATTTTGGAATCTGATAGAAAGAATGGATAAGATGAGGATAAGCCAAAAGTATTAGTTAAAAAAAACGTTACATTAACATATTTTGCTAAATGACTTGACAGCATACCTAATGCTTCTATAATTATTAATTAGACAATAAAATACATAAGATAGATGTTTGGACCTTGAACAAGTTAAAATAATTCTTTTATTTCAGGTAGTTTGGTTTATGTCATCATGGTCTAAAAATTTTTCAGTTTCTAAAGGCTATAGCTAGCATTAGGTAGAAATAAATCTTCCACACAAGATATTATTGCGCTGACTAAATTCAGGCCAAGTCTGCTATTATATTGCAATTTATTCAATTTTATGCATGATTTAGTCTATATATACAACACATTATTGATCATTCTAAATAGTGCTATAATTAGTTGTGTACTCCAGAAACCCTCCTTAATTAGAGATTAATCAATAATTTAATGGAGATAAATATTCTACTATTGGTTATTTGGTTAAGTGTTGATATTGTATATCACAAAAGAGTAGTGGAAGCAATTGACTTTAAGGATATTACCACGTATAATAATGACAAATTTGATAATGAAAGTACAATCAATGAGCGTTGTCCTCTAATTATTATTTTATTGCAAAGTAGTTGTATGGGTTCTTAAATTAACATGGAATTTCCTTGAAACTTTGCGCATATAAGTCAATGGTAATAATATATTCATACATACATACATTCATACTTTATAATTTATACATTTTCATAATATATATAATTTACATTATACATTTACATAATACATACATTTACACAGCATGCTCTCCTTACAAGGACATGTTTCACATAATATTAATTGCTGCATAAAGTAAAATAAATATCATCGAAAAAAATAATAAATTAAGTATATTTTATGTGTGTTTTGATTTTTATTCTCTTCATTATATTAGTTATACAAAAAAATAATAAACAAAGTTACTCTTTATTAAGTTAGTATGCTTATTTGTGGAGAGAATGTAATACAATAATAATTATAAAACTATATGTTGCTGCCGATTGTTTGATTTACATCAAGATCGAGCCTAATTAATCTTACTCAAGCTAATTATCCTATCCTGGGTGTCATTAATCAACTTGTGCAATGTTATATTTTTGCCAAAAAAATGTAAAGAATAGAAGAAATAGAGGACGCTATGCTTCATGCATTTTCAATAGATAAATTGAGGCATTTTCACCTAACTTTTGGCTTTAAGTTTGGTACTTTTGTTTTGTGTTAAAATATTATTTCCATTGAAATAAGAGTTTATGGCCAAGAAGTCATCACACGTATCTTTTAAAGTATTAGGCATTTTGATCACACGTAGAAATAATGGTGAGATCAATACTCTAAATACTGCGCTGATGTGGTTCTCAAATATTGAGCATATATGTACGTCTCATGACTTTATTCTCTTTTCCAATTTTTTTTTATTCTATTATTATAACTTAATATGATAAAACATTAAAGTTCAAGAAAGTTTGTTCACTCAAATTGATCCGTCACTCCACTAAGTTTTTTCTTAGTTATGCGTGGTTGATCATATAACTATATATTTACAACGAAAAAGAGAATTTTATCTCAATAATGAGTTTCATGTGTGTAACTGAAAATTTCGGGGAGTGCTAAATTCGCGTTGATACTAAAAACAATGAACGTTCATGTAAATTTACGGAAGCGAATAAATAAAAACGAACTTTCAAGAGAGCGTCTCACTCTACCTCAGAACGTTTTCATTAAGCAAGTGGTTGACCAATGAGTACAGATAAGATTTAAATGCATATACTCCCTCTAAGCTAACCTACTTTGTACTCCACCTACCTAACTACTTTTTTTGGCAACGACGTGGACTTACGAACTACACGTATGGATCCCTCCAAGCAGTATGAAGATGCTCGTCCCAAGCACCAAGTAGAAACTAATACAAAACTGACAGCTCGAATTACCAGCGATAAACCTTCACGCTGGAATTCGATCACTCTGTAAAAAATATTAAAAAAACTAACGAGCTCTCAATGAATAAAACTCTAAACTCTCTGAAAGAATAATGGAATAACTCATTCTCTTCCAGAATTCGTGAAACTGATATATATACAACTATATAAGGTATGCAAGTTCATCATAAATCTGTAGTTTCCATATTTACTCGATCTTCTCGTTCAACTTTGGAAACTAAATCTCCATGCCTTGTAAGTCTTACGAATCTTCTGTCCAAATCTTCCAGATTTCATCTCGCATCTCTCTCTTCAATCGTGCGAACTTTCTTTCCTTGTTTCCATGCGAACCTTTAGAAATATCTTCTTACCGATTTCTTTCATTTTCTTGCTCGATTTTCCAGCTCTCTTCCTCAAGATTTCAGCTCTCAAATCTCACAAGAATATCTTCTTTTTATCACCACTGCTCTTCCTTTTCCTACAAGTAAAAGAAGACAATCAAATAATACTATAACATATAGTAAGAAAATATCAAAATAAGGAAAGAGAATATATATAAAATATCCTAATGAATCTAATATATTTCCTTTACCTACAAGTTAAAGGAAGATAATTAAATCCAAATACACAATAGGAGTATAACTAAAATATGGAAAGTTAAGATTAGAAGATTTTCTCTTTCTCTTCAAGCATTAAATCCATAAAACCTATTTCAAGAAACAAAAATATGATAAATAAATAATATTTTCGATTAATGCCAAAATCGGTTTTCTTACAGTAACAATGGTTACATGATTTTGAAGTAACATGAGACAAAATTTCATGGATATTTGATAATTCTAATACAATACCCATTCTATTTGATAAATTAACTTTTAATTTTTATATATTTAATATAGATATCTATTTAGAGATTGTGAAAAACGATGACTTCGATAAATAGTGAACAAAATCAGATTATTAAAGTGTAAGTTTTTTATGACGATGTATTAATTAGACATAACAAAAGTATACAGTGATGAAAGACGTATCTTATAAATCACATCTTCTTCGCAGGGATGCGTGGGTAGGGAATATATCTTGCAAATTATATCGTGGATCACTATCCATCTTGTAAAATAGACTTTGGCCCTGAAACGAAGTCGTTTTATCACTTAGCTTAATGGCTAGTGCAGCAACCTGCAACCCATTTAATCATTTTTACAAATTAAACAAAGTATTGTTTATTGTTCACTTCGAATTTTGCTAATCCAAATGGTTGTTGAGTGTACTACTTTTAATCAACATGGTACTGCCCTTTTGTTTTGGAAAAATGAACAAATAATGAAATCGTAATTTTAATTACCCAAAAATAAAATAGTAATTCATAAAATTTAGCACAAATATTATATAGTTCCCCAAATGTATGGGGGTCGGTACAGGAAACCGAAATTTTTTCAAAGTGAAGAGAAAAGCCTCAACTCTCAAGCGGTCAAGGCACGCCAAAGTTGACCTATTATAGTTTACCCCACCCTCTCATTATACAAATGTATTATGTAATTGCTTACCTCACCTTATAATAGTTAAATAGGTAGAAAGCAGTTCCAACTTTCAATTGTTTAATATTTTCCATCCTTAATACATTATTGATCAAGCTTTTAATGTTTAATTCTTCAACTATTGAGGATTGACCCAATTCACGTGAGTGTGTGTAATTGGACCATGAAAACCCAACCGTTGGGTTAGTGTCCACGCCGATAGCGTCGTCTCTTCTCAATTTCATCCTAATGTTCTTACCGATAACTAAAATTAACTAAAATAACTTTTTTTTTTTTAATTGTTAACTTAAATAACTTTTTAGTATTACTGATGATGGGTCTGCTTCAAATAAACGAGATAAAGACTAGAAACTGAAATCTAAAAATCCCAATTCACCTAGTTCTTCCTCTTCCTTAGTGACCTCCGAATTATTGGGAAAGTTCTTAGTGTAAACTCTCCAACAATTAATAATAAAAAAAAAAAAAGCAATTGATCAATGTGTATCAATGTGTAATATTGAGAATGAATGGTGCTTTTCCTCATTAATCGGCAATGGTGATGTTTTCGATCCATTTCTAAATCATAATTTTACGCGTGGACATTAAACCATCCATTCTCAGCGCGGAAGGACGATAAATTGATAGCTTGTTTTCAGTTAAAATGTCAATTTGACATGTTCTTTGGCAATAAGCCCTAATGGTGTTGATATTAGATGGTTGTGATGTATATTAATTAAACTCCAACGAAAACCAACTACAGCAAAGTCGCGGGCCCGACCAACAAAACTAGGATGGGAACTGAGAAAATCTGGAGTTAATTTCTATTGCCAGACGATATGCTTACAACAATTATAGAGCAACCTTTGGCTTACTCATCCTGCTCGACTTCTTATTAATTGAATCGAGCCTCACAGGCCCCGACTTATGTAATAATAACAAAACTATGGGTATATATAGATGAAAAGTTTCAAACAAAACCATATTTGATTCTAACTTTTAGAATATTAAGCAAAATATGTATAAGCACTTGTGTACTTCCACAAGGCTCATGCTTCTCAAGGGAAAAATGCCTGAATGGCAATTTGCATGAAAGATGGTCAAAGGCGCTTGTTATGTACTCACCACACTTGATCAACAAAACTTTAGACAACCAAGAGTGACCGTAATGTAAGAATTCGCACATCCAAGATGCTCAAAGATAGAACAGCTATAGTTCTTGGATGACTATATCTATCTCATTGGCAGAAGAAACTACGATCAAAACATAACCACTTTCTACACAGAGAACTCATTTTCAATCATCGACAGCTGGAATCCAAAACTACCTGTGAATCCCGGCCATCAAAGGACGAATCACGGGTCTGATGCTCGAATCACCTTTTCCCAATTTTCTACTCTTTCTCCTATTTGCATGAGCTTTGAACTTGGACCGCATTAGAGCAGCCATCATTTGCTGACCTCTCGAACTAGGCATGCTCCTTATTAATGAGTACGCTTGCTTTGTTTCTGCATCGTCCATATCTTTCTCAAGCTGCCTCTTGTAAGTTACTGTTTTCAGATGGTCACGTGGAATCATGATGCCTGCATCTGGAAATCCAACACCAGAGTTCAGCATTCACATAAAAATAGACATTCACGGGGTAATTCAAGAACATGCTTCAAAGATTATGTGATGTAGGGAAACGTACGAGTGGTACGATATTAATGAGATCTCAATCTCAAGAACATCTAAACACGATATCAAATCATATTTTCATTCAATAATTCATAATCAACTCCCCTAATAACAAAGCAAGAGAGCCCTTTAAATAAAACTCTCAAACTGAACCCTAGCTTATTCTCCAAGCTAACTAATAATAATAATAATAATAATATTATTATTATTATTATTATTATTCTGCATCATTATGTTTACAAAAATTACCAGGCGGGTCCTCTCTGTAAATCTCCGAACTAGGAGATCTCGGACAGTTTTCTTGAGGGTTGATCTGATTGTTTGCAGCACCTTCTCCTTCCTCACTAGGTCTGTTTAGCTTTTCACAAAATGTGGACGATACCTCTTTTGGGGCTTTGGGTGAAGGTATGTCTAAAGAAGGCCCTGCACATGGCTGTTCTACTAGAGTAGTCGTCCCATGAGGATTATCATCAGTTTTTTTGCTGGTCTCCAAATTTTCATGCATCTGTACACTATCTTTAGTCTCATTGTTATAGTCATCTTCCCTTAGTTCTGAACCAATATCACAGCTCACTTCTTTACAATCACGAGAAGATTTTTTCTCCGAACTAGGAGACGGTGGGGAGGTGTGTACTTTATCTAAGACTGTTTTGGGTGATGTGTCCAATGCTTTTGACTCTAGGCTAAAGTACTCTTGAGTTTCAACAAAACTTGAAAACCATGTTGTATCCTCTTTTGCATAGTACAGAATGTATGCCTCTTGAGATAGCACATAATTTTCAGAGACCAGCACAACCTACATAATTGAGAAGATAAAAACATCAAGGTCATCCCACAATGGTACTCAAGAACATACAAAAGAGCAGGAAAAGGAGTTCTAAGTAAAGATATTACCTTTGAATCATCAAATTTGCACCACGTGCCAGGAGATAAGCGAATGAAGCAATAGTAGTGCCCAGATGTCGATGCCAATCCAACATGCACCACAACAGCATACAGTACATACTTAAGTTCCATCTGCAAAGCTCACAACCAAATGTGTGATTAAGATCAAAACCTCTATACTAAACAACATCAAATGCAGAATAAAGAGGATAATCAGAAGATCACGCCAACGCCACAAAGACATTGGAACACTACTCTCTTTCAAGAACAAACAAAATATGTTCTTCTAGAAAATATTTTTGAGCTAATTATCAATTAGTACAAGTTTTTACCATTAAATAACTATACATAATCCATTATTCTCGCATCATATTAAATGTATATGCTTTTTCACATGCTTGGAACAGCATTGGGAACTCACACTAATGTTATTGCCGCCTAACATGAAAGGCTGCAAGTCCAATTCTAATGGAAACTCCACGTGTTTATCCATTTTATGAACAAAGCAACCATCATTTTTGAATCTCTTCAACTGAAACAGGGCCACTGTTGGGGACTGATCAAAGGAAAGCTTCTTTTCTATGGATACGTGCTCCTTACACTTTTCACATGTAAACTTGGTCTCTAGATCTTCAATTATTTCAACCTTTGTAAACGACTGAAGAGCAGTCAAAAGGTTGTCTGCATCCTCAATTTCCAAGCTCAGGTCAATCAATGGCTCATAAGTGTCAGAACAGTGGCCACAGCTACAACACTTCAGCTGCAAAATTAGTGGAAAAAAAAAAAGTAAGTGATGTGATTTGGTACACTCAAAGTGAAGAAAAAATAGATTTAAAAACGAGCTCCTACTTTGCTGACAAGACGACCACCAAATATTTGCTTCACCATGTTATTACTATGTGAAGACACATGACAGCTTTCAAGCCTATCCAGAAAGCACTGAAGGAATTCATGAGCGTCTTCCTGTTGAAACCGTTTGAAGCCTGATGAAAAATCTAGCAATTTTACAAAGTCAAGGAACTACAAAGAAACGAAATGATTCTTGAAGTTTCCAAGACAAATGCCAGAGGTCATACTTTGAAATCCAACCAATTCGCGGATCCAAAATGAAAGAGGATATAGTATAAGTAAAGTTTCACTTGCAAGAATCACAAATAGACTATCTATATTGCAGCAGCAACAAAAATCTAACAGAGAATGATGCCAGGGAGGATACAGCTCAAGTTGTTCACAAGACCTAAAGGCGCAACAGGTCCGTCTCTCCTAGTCAGCGAATGATTAATGAGCAACCGCACAGCACATATTAAGCAAAAACTTTCTTTATCACCTGAGAGATGATGCATTTACAGGGGAAAAAAATCAATACCCAATTGAAGTATACCTAACTAACCACACAGATCATGAAAATTTTAAGGGGCATAAATTTATTCATCAACGACCCTAGCAAAGAAAACTCACATCAATTTACTTACAATTAGAATGTTCATCAGAAAGAATGCCGTGGAGAAATGGGACAGTGTGGAGAAAGCATTGCATCACTGCATTCAGGAAGCAAGTATTTCCCAAATTTTCCAGTCCTGCTCCCTGCCAATAATTTTAATACTTCAGCATAAAATTGGGAAACAAGAAACAGACAACATACTGACTGCAGCACCTATAATCAACAACACTGAATAAAAATCAATGAATAATCAGTTCTTACTACAATTGCAGAAGGCTTGTCATCACGGTACGGGCATCTAGAATAATAAGGATTTCCAGCATATCCAGAATAATAAGGATTTCCAGCATAATAAGGATTTTCCAGTCCTGCTCCCTGTCAATAATTTTTATACTTCATCATAAAATTGGGAAAAAAGAAACAGACAACATAATGACTGCAGCACCTAAAATCAACAAAAGTAAACAAAAATCAACGAATAATCAGTTCTTACTACAATTGCAGAAGGCTTGTCATCGCGGTACAGGCATCTAGGATAATAATGATTTCTAGAATAATAATGATTTCTAGCAAATCTCCCTGGCATCGGTGCAAGCCAGTGAGGTGACCATCGATATCCACAAGGACCATAACGATTTCTCTCGGCGCTTCTCACATACAAGACCTCATCGTCGCCGTCGGAATCAGTTTCTCCGGACTCACTCGCGCCTTCTAGCACTGGGGCATCTTCTTCTTCTTGCTCTCCTTTGTTCGATTCAGGCAGCGATTCCTCGGAAAACGTCAACTGATCGTCGGAGGCCATGGGTATGCCCGCCGTCTAGGGTTTCGACTACGATTCCTGGGTCGCGGAATAATCAGTTAGGGTTCCGAAGGGAAAATTGAGTTTTGGAAAGGGAGGGAAAAGAAAGGAAAGAGCCGATGAAAGGGAACGAAATTTGAAACGCGCTAAGAGATAAATCTACGAGGGGATTGAACTTACAGAAATTCTATGGCGCCCATATGGGCACCATATGGTACCATAATCTTCACGATCTAACGCCTAATATTCATTGTGGAAAAAATATATTAGGCGTTGGATCGTGAGATTATGGCACCATATGGTGCCCATATGGGCGCCATAGAATTTCTGTTGAACTTAGGGTGGTAAAAAATATAAAAGGAGGGGAACCTTTGTGACAAGGGATTGCATCTGGGAAAAAAATCACCCCTATATATTATTACCAAATACATTCTACCGACTCTTATACAAAATTAACTAGTGTTGATACCGTGCGATGCACGGGATACAATACAAAACATATTTTTTATTTATATATTATAAAATTATTTAAGACAATATGAAATTATACTCTCCACAATATTCTATTCAATAATAATATAACATTTATTTATTTACTATTATTGTTAATTTCTATTTTTATATTTTTTTTTTAGTTTTTGACTATTTAATATATAAACTTTATTATATTTTTAAGTTTATAAAATATTATAAATGTATAAGATCATATGATATTTGCATACAAATTAATTATATGTACTTATAAAATTGTCGTTTATCAGTCTTATCATTTTTTTAACAATTCATAATTTGCACATTGCTTGATAATTGACCAACGTTTAACCCATAATATTTATCTTCCCCATAACTATTAAGTGCAATACACAATATCTAGTAACTTTAATCCTTATGCAATACACAATTTTTTACGGTCAAATATTTTATTTTTTATGTTTTCATTTTTTATTTATATTTATTTCTTTAATTCATTTTTTCAATCTATATAATGAGTTACATAGTATCTATTCGAATATTTAGATATATTTATATTTCCATAATTACCAAGTGCTATAATTTAAATTATTATACATTGATTTTTTATTAACTTATTTTTCATTTATAAAATAGTATATGAGAAAAAAATATATCTTTTTAAAAATTGAATAGGTTTTTAATGTACATAGATACTTTAAATTTATAATTCTGAATTGCACCCGACTATCAAATTTTATTTTTATTAGTATATTATTTAAATTTTCAATATTATTATCACGGCATATGATATATTCCATGGGGATGTACATTTTATAGTTAAATTGACTATATTTTAGAAACTTTTATTCATATTTTAAATCATTTATTAAGTTATAATAATTTAAACATTGTTAATCTGATTATTTTATTAAATATTTTAAATACTTCTGAATAGTGAATATAATTAATTAAATTAATACCTACAACCATAGATAATAATATATTTAATCAAATCAATTTTCAGAATAATTTTTTGAATTGTGTCATTTAATTGTTATTAAATTATCATAAGATCTTATTGAAAATATATCTAATAAATCTACTGTCAAAATTTCAATTTAAGTCAATTTGTAGTTAATGGTAATAGTCATTGAGTGTATAAAAAATTAATTATGTTTTTCATGCATAAGATTTGCCAATAAATAAATATTAATTAAATGCCAAATATAGACGAAAAAATTTCCCGCCCAAAATAATGCCAATTATGGCAATAAGGATTGGTCCATTATATAGATATAGATATAGATTACTCTTGTATTTCAGTTAATGTCTATATTATTCATATAAAATTCATAATTGATTTTTTTTATCTTTTTTACAATTAGCTAGCATAAATTATTTTACGTTTTTTCCTACATTACCATATATATACTTCATTTTTTTATTTAATTGATACACCAATTATTATAAATGTTTCTTCTTATTTTAAAATTTTTTAACTTTTTTTGTTTATATTTTATTTTTCATATATGATATATCAAATTAATTATCTTTTAACGATATTCGATTTGACATTTATATTATATATATATAATACAAAACAATGATATATATTTTTATAAAGAAAATTTGAATTTATTTATCAAACTAAGTTAAAACAAATCAAAGAAACCTATAAATTATCTTATAAGGTAATAGAAATTTATGTGTATTAATATACCATAAAATGATTATTTTATTTGAAAAAAAAAATATGTAACTAACTGTGAATTAATAGAAAAAAAAATACTTTAAGGTTTATGTCTCAACTTAAATAAAGACTACATAGAGAGTGAACATTATAATGATCTTGAAAACAACTAAATAAACATTAAAAATATAATTATTATTTATTATATTTCATAAAGTCAGATCTCATACACATTATATTTTAAATTATTTGAATATTATAAAGTTAAATATATTTTATAAAAATATAAAATGGAAGAAAAGTGTATAAATATAAAATACAATTACAATATAATCAAACTTGAAAAAAAAATTAAATTAATTCAAATTAAATTAGTGAGTTGTAAATAATATGTGTTT